GAGCCATTCCTGTGTCATCTCCACGTGTGTGTGTGCGTGTGTGTGTGTGTGTGTGTGTGTGTGTGTGTGTGTGTGTGTGTGGTACTGGGGAGTGAACCCAGGGCCTTCGCACTGAGCTGCGACTCCAGCCCTTTTTATTTTTTGAGACAGGGTTTTGCTAAATTGCTAAGGTGCCCTTGATGGGCTTAATCTTGTAATCGCCTGCTAGACTGCTTGGAGTACACGTATGTGCAACTACTCCTGGCATTTAACAGTTGAGGAAGTAAGGCAGAAACAGAGGCATCTTGCCCAAGTTCAGACAAGCTGGTAAGCAGCAGGCCTGAATGAAGCCTGTGTGTCCCTGGCCAGCTGTGCTATGCTATGTCCATGGGGGTGGATTTTGCCGCAGCGAATTCAGCTCAAGCTACAGGGCTCTCCTTACACAGGCTCCCTCTGAGCTCCCATGGTGGCCTGGTAATGTGTTTACCTGGTTGTTCCCCAAGTCACCTAGGTCACATAAGCTTCAGGTCCATAACACCCGTCACCAGGTAATCCCTGTTTTTCAGATGAGCCAAGTGAGGCTCAGAGAGGTCTAGTAGCTCCCACAGAGTCACACAGTAAAAACAGCTGGAGCTGTGACATGAACTCCGATCTGTCTGACCACACATGGGCCCCAAGGCTGGTTGCTGCATTTGTAGGCCCCTCTGCTTACTCCCACCTCTCCCTTCTGGCTGCCACGCTGAGCTCTGTCTTTGCAGGCTGTCAGTCCTGAGCAGCGGTTCTGGAATGCCTCCGGGGCGGCCTTTGTGACTGTCCAGGAGCACGAGCAGGTGGGCAGGGCCCTGGGGGCTGAGATCATCCTCACCACCCTGCTGGCCCTGGCGGTGTGCATGGGCGCCATCAACGAGAAGACGCAGGGCCCTCTGGCCCCGTTCTCCATTGGCTTCTCTGTTGCCGTGGACATCCTGGCAGGGTGAGTCGGCTCTGAAGGAGGTCAGGCCCAGGAGCCCCAATCTCAGTGGCCAATGGGGTCCAAGAAGTGGCTGCAAGTGGGGAAAGGGAGTGGCTGTGGGCAGCTGACAGGGAGGGGTGGGAACTGGCAGTTAGGAAGCTCTAGTCAGTTATGGCTGTGTGAGGTTGTGGGTCTAGGGTGACACTTCTCATTCCATCCGAGTAAAGTCAGACATTCATTCAATTAAAGGATATTTATGCCAAGTTTAAAATTTCAGTACTGTGAATAAAACACGTGTGCAGGCTGTAGCCTCAGATTTACAAAGATCATATTCACTGTCTCATTTAGTTTGAGCCCTTGCTAGTCCTGCGAAGGCACTGTAGAAACAGGTTCTTGGTAGGGAATGATTTCTCCCATTTTAGAGATGAGGATGCTGAGGCCTACTGGGGACGGAGGTGATGTATTTAAGGTCACTGGGCAGTGGCAAATCAAGAGGCATTCCTTTCTGCTGAAGGGGATGCAGGGGCCCTCCCTCTGTGTCCATCACCTTCCATTCTTCTGGATGCAGAACCAGGTCTGGCCGTTCTCCAGGGTCATACTCTGTCACCTTTGAGAGGTGTTCTCTAGGATAGGACGGGATTGTGGGTCAAAGCTGTGGTGATATTTTGCTGCCCTCTAGTGGTGTTTGACTTACAAGACTACTGAGCCATCCCTTTGACTTTGGCTATTGGACGCAGGGAGGGATGGGGTCTGTAGGACCCTAGCTTGAGAGGGTAGGACACAGACTGGGTAAGGATACAGACACCAGACCTATTGAGGTGCCCCTGAGGAGATTCTGTGCCTCCACTGTGCAGCATGTAAGGGCCTCGTCGGGGCCAGATGGCTTACAGTTGACACTTGCTGTACACTGACTACGCAGGAGGCAGGGGCTCTATAAGCACTGCCTTACCCACTCCTGACAACAGCCTGCGGGAAGGGCATTTTCACCTCAGCGGAGACTTGACGGGCTAAACAAAGGTCATGGGGCTACAACCAGCTGGGCTGGGCTTTGAACATAGGTCAGCTTGACTCCAACGTGGTTGACAACCATTTGGCTTTGTTTTAGACTTTGGAGAAAAACTTGGTCATTGTGTTCTTTCTGCCATCACTGAGCAAGCATTTGTGTTGGTCAGGCTGTGTGGGGCGGGGAGACGTGTGCCAGGAGGAGACAAGCCTTTGACTTCCTGTGCTAAGAGGTTCTCTTCCTTCTCTGGGACCCACCTAGGATCCCCTGATAGGGAAGCTTAGAGGAGAAGGCATCTAGGAGGGCCATGGCTCAGCGCCCAGGTGGGGACATGGATTTGTGTGAGTGGGGCTGTCTGGGAGCCTGGTGACTGTGTGCCTGGGTCTTTGCAGGGGTGCTATCTCTGGAGCCTGCATGAACCCTGCTCGTGCCTTTGGGCCTGCCGTGATAGCTGGCCACTGGGACTTCCACTGGATCTACTGGCTGGGGCCACTTCTGGGTGGCCTGCTTGTAGGACTGCTCATTAGGTAGGTGTCTTATGGGCCTATGGTGACACTGCTGGGGAATCCCATGTTAGAGGGTTGTGCTCTCCCTTGGGTTTGGAGAAGGACACAGAGAACCCTCTTCAGAAGCAAAGAATCTGGGTCTGTTGAGGACCTTTGGTTACAAGTGACAGAAATCCATCTTAAGAGGAATTCATCAGCTCCCACAGTTGGGAAGTTCATTGGGAGCACTGGCTTTGGATGGTGCTCAAACAAAGCCCCTAGGACCTGGGCTTTCTCATAGGCTATACTTTCTTCTGTGTGGGTTTTATGCTTAGATAACTCTAGTAGGGGCACTGATACCTACTGTTCATCTGTACTCACATCTTAGCAGCTTAACAATTCCAAGGGAAACAAAACAACAGCTCTAGCCAAAATCCTGTGACTGATGCTCACTAGTTTGGCCTGGCCTCGTTTATATCCACCTCTGAATCCTACCCTATTCAAGTGGGTAGGATCCCTTACAGGCCATGTGGAGCCTGAGACCCACCCTGGAGTGGGGGTGAGATTAGCTTACCTGGACAAGCATAAATAGGATGGAGAATAGGGATGAGTAGTTCGCACAGTGCTGTTGTACAATCCCAGGGCCCATCCAAAGCAGAACCATGTAAATGGTGTCCCCAGGATCATGCAGGCCAGGAGATGGCATTCAGACAAAATACAGCATGAACAGAGCTCCTAGAATCATACAGTGGATAGAAAGAAGATTGGCTTGTCATTATAAGAAGAATGAGTGGATTCTAGGTAGAAAAAACAAGTGGCCTTCTATCTGGCTTGATCTTTACTCCTTGAGTTCATTCTCATCTCCCGTTTCTGCTCTGGGTGGCATAGGGATTACTGTCTGGACTTAGTACAAGTTGGGTCACCAAATCCTGTCTGGGAGGGGACAGGCCGTGGACTGACCCATCTGGCTACCTGCACTGCCCAGGGGCCTCAGGACATCCCAGGGGCTCTAAAAAGCATTGTGCATCCTGCTCTGTCTGCTGCTTTCAGGGTGGCAGCAATGAGCATTTTCTAAGGGAAAACAAACCAGACAGGAAACTATCTCCCATACTCCAAGACTGGAAAAGCTCAGAAAGTCATCACTCTGGAGGACTGGGGGCCTGAAGACAGGGAATGAAAGGCTGTTTTTCCTCCAGGGTCTTGGAGACCTCATAGAGCCATGTGTTTTCACAGGTTCCTCATTGGAGATGGGAAAACCCGTCTAATCCTAAAGGGCCAATGAAGCAGAGATGGGAGGTTCCCACTGCCCTGGCTCCCTCAGCTGCCCCACCCCGGTTGAGGACAGACGGGACAGCTTCTGCATCTACTGCAGAGAAGAGGCCCAGAGGAGCGACTGACCTGTTTTCTTTGGATTTGGGTCTGGCTTTTTGGACAGACAGACTGCTGTAAGTCCTAAGGAGGCCCTGGGTCTTGAAATACTTCTGTGCTAAATGGAGGCCCTTGCCTAGGGGACATGTTGCCAGAACTGCCCGGAGAGAAGTGGAAACAGCATGGTAAAGGAGGTTTTTCTTGAGAGGGAAGGTCTCAGGAGCAGAACAGTTGGAAGAAGTGGTTCTTTATGTACATAAGCTGGATCATCCCCCACCTCTGCTTTCTTCAGGGCTGGGGATCCAGCCCAGGGCTGCAGGCACACCAGACAAGTGCTCTGCCACTGAGTCATACCCCAGCCTTCCTCGCCTCTTTTCTTTTCCTTCTGTTGTTCTTTGATTCCTGTGATAGAAGAGCTTCTGGGAGCCTAACCACCTTGCCTTCCAAGCTGCCAATCTGCCTTCACAATAAACAACATCCCTTCTATGTGTCCATTGGCTTTTCATTTAGGAGATGGCACTGCCAGGGAGGACCTAAGAGTCTATGGTAGGGCATTGCCCATCCAGAGCCTAGAGAGCCCAGCTGCTACTGCCAAGGAAGGTTCTTGGAGCCTGGTCCAACTCAGAGCCTGTCTCAATTAGCCAGGCCCATCCTGGAGCTCAATTTGGAGCTGAGAACCCACTTGGACACTAACCAGTCAACTCCAGATCACTGACTTCAGGACCCTGCTAGAAGCGAGTGCACAGCCAGAGTCTGCTTGAGTGCCCAGTACTGCTGGGACACAGATCAACATATGCACTGCAGGCCAGGGGTCGAGGGGTAGGGTAGAGCCACAAGAATTTCCCATGGAAGAAAATACTGAGCAAGTATTATAGAACAGGTCTTAAAAGAGTGGGAGATAGAATGAGTAAGAAGAGATTAACACACATTCAGAACCGCACACCTTCTGAGAAGAGTATGTACCTTCTCTGTAAGAATCTATAGTCATCTATGGGAGAGGATCATTATGACACCATAAATAAGTGCCAGTGAAAAATCATTCTTAGGGTCGGGGATTTAGCTCAGTGGTTCCACTGCCTGCCTTACAAGTGCAAGGTCCAGAGTTCGATTCCCGGAATCCCCCATCAAAAAAAAAAAAAATCATTCTCAGTGACAAAAACAGACAAACCCATTTCTTCAAGATGAACGAAACACCTACCAGAGCAAAAATGAAATGCTCACAGGAGTTGGGCATAGTGGCACAAGCCTGTAATCCTGGCATTCTAGGGGGTTGAGGCAGGAGGATTGTAAGTGTGAGACCTGCCTGGGAGACAGTGATTTAATGAGACCCTGCCTCACAATTAAAAATAAAAAAGGGCTCAGTGTGAAGGCCCTGGGTTCATTCCCCAGTACTACAAAAATCCAAACTAACCCAAAACAAAACAAAACAAAACATAACTGGGGAAACCACCAGTTGTTATGCTTTGCCTAGATGCCCTCCAAAGCCTCATGGAGTCTCACTTAGATGGGGCTTTTTCAGGGGTGGCTGAATCTAAAATGTGTGATGCTGGGATTAAGGGTATGCGATTCCAAAGCCAGTCCACTGATTGGTTTGGCACCGCCTTAATCCCAGTAGTCTGGTTAAAATGAAAGGGGCAGAAAGACGCTGATAAGTTCACTTGTTGCTTTTGCTACCATGTGGGTACCATGAACAATTTCTCTCTGTGACGCCCTCAGCCATGTGCCCCCCTGCCTTGGAGCCAGCCAACTATGGACTGAAACCTCTGTACACTGTGAGCCAAAGAAACATTTTCTTCTTTAACTTTGGGTGTTGGGTATTTTGTCTCAGTAAGGAGAGAAGAGTAACTAACCAGTATAATCACAGATAGCCTATGATCTATCTGTCTATCTGAACACCCACAAATTCTCAGACAAAAAGAGTACAACAAATAAAAATAACAACTGTAAAGAATAGAAGGGGGAAATAATTTTACAAAATCAGAAATGAGCAAATTAGAAGACTTACATAGAATAAAAAAAGTTGTAAGTTACTATATAACTTGGTGAATAAACTTTTGACAGCTCGAATAAGAAAAATTATGTACGCATATATGCACATATACACAATAGTGTCTATAGCTAGCATTTACTGTTTACTATGTATCAGGCACTGTACTGAATGCTTTACATATATTATGTCTTTTATTTCCACCACAATCCTGGCTAGTGTAGAGGTGTTGCATAATGTTCCCCAAAATTCATTTGTGTCCACTTGGAATTTCAGGATGAGACCTAATTAGGAAATAATTTTTGTAGATGTAACTAAAGTAAGCATCAACATGAGCCCATATGGGGTTAGGGTAGCCTGAATTGAAGGATAGTGTCCATATAAGAGAGAGAAAATGACATACACCATCACAGAGTTCTAGAGAATGTCACATGAAAACAGAGGCAGAGCCAGAACCAGGAGCCAGGAGCTGGGAGAGGGAAGGAAGTCTTCCTTGGGAGCCATGGGAGGAAGCATGTTTCTGCTGACACTGTTATCACAGATCTGGCCTTTCAGACTGTGAAGGAATAAACTTGTCATTTTAGGCCACCAAGTAAGTAAGAGTTTCTCATAGCAGTCCAAGTAAATACTACAGGTAGGCACTCTTATTCCCCTTTTCCAGAAGAGCCAAATAACCGGTGTCCCCAGAGATGTTACCTGAAGCTGGTATGTTGGAGAGCCAGCATTTCAGAACATGGCTGCAGAGCCCATAATCTGTGCTGTCACACTTCACTCCTTTTGGGTAAGGGACAACACTGTATCTTTGGTCTGGTTTCCTATTTGTTAGTCTCCCATTAAAAAGGGAACAGAAAGATATGTATTACAACTTTCCACTTCCAAGAGAAAGGTGGATACAAATTCACCTTTGTAATCCCATATTATGGGTTTCTGGCAGGGAAGGGACTCAGTAAGTGGGACTGGTACAGGCTGACCCCAATGGCTCCCAAACTCATTCCGACCTGACAGAGTGGAATCCAAAATGGATCCAGCTCACCCAAGTTCACATCCATGTCACTTCTTTTCTCAGTAACAAGGAAAGGAGGTCATAAGATTTTAGGGTGTTAGAGCTAGAAACGTACTAGTAAAATGTGGTGACTAGGAGTTTAGATTCTGAGAGAGATCTAAAGTTTAAATCTCAGAACTGTCATCTTTTTACCACATGGGCTTGAAGAAGCTATTTCATTCCTCTCAGCTTCAGCTTTTTTTTTTGGTACCAGGGATTGAACTCGGGTCCTTGCGCTTGCAAGACAGGCCACCGAACCACTGAGCTAAATCCCCGGCCCCAGCTTCATCTTTTTAAAATCTCTACACTGGAAAGACTGCCTCAAATGCTGGTGAGACTTAACTAACATGTTTATAAAGCATCAGCATTATGCTTAACAAATAATAAGCCCAGAATCTGGTTAGCACTTACCCTTTTGGCCATCCCATTTAAGATTTTGCAATTTGCAGGTATCAGAATCATGGCAAGGGGTGGAGTTTTGGCACATAGACTTGGCACATACGTTTTCCATCCACTATTCCCAGATAAGGATGTTTAGGCTTCTCACTGGAAAAGGTTGGGGACCACTTGTCCTGTCTGCGAGGCTAACTAGAGTGACTATCAGTACTGACAAGAGTTCAATTAGAATGAAGGATTCTGGATACACAGTCTGGGGTTCCTTCTATTGTAGCAGGCATGTACTTCCTGTTCTAGACCCGTGGTATGAGTGCTGATGTGCTTCCTTTCACCACAATTGCCTGTGTTTTCACAAGCCACGTCATCAGGCAGCCTAGCATTAGCACGTTGCATTTCTCCCTCACCATGCTGTGCAGAAACTCTGGGGGTCTAAGCAGATCCAAAAGGGAAGTGTGTCTATCTTCTCCTGGCCAGAAGAACTGAGTTAATTTTTCTACCTTGTGCTCACTGGTGCTGTCATCTCCTCCCTGCTGCAAGTATTTGCTGATGAGAGTGGTTCTCAGATGGCATAAACTCTCGCTGAGTCACACTTGTCCAGGCCTAAGTCATTTCTTGAAATTGGGTTCTACTGATGATAATTCCACAACTTCATGCCAAGCACACCTGCATGTTTCACAGCATCCATGCTCGTGTGCCAAAGCAACCTGCAAGGCCTTTTAGGTCTCTGCTCTCCTTTCCACAGGCCTACCCCAAGCCCTCTGCACACACAAAAATGTACCATTTCCCCCCAGAGTCCAATCATCTGAGTGGGTCGAGGAATTGCCTGTTCCTTTCCCAAGTCACTGGACCATCATGGAACTGGGGGTTTGTGATTAGAAGTGTTTCTTTTAATTTTATTAGTACATTTCAGGTATACAATATGAAATTTATTGTTCGGAATCGGTACTTTTACATGATACATATTGGTTCTTTTTTCTTTTTTTTTTTTTGGTACTGGGGATTGAACTCAGGTCCTTGCACTTGTGAGGCAGGTGGCAGAACCACTGAGCTAAATCCCTGGCCCTATATCTTGGTTCTTATTTTTTTCCCCATTCCCCTGCCTTCCCATTAACCTCTCCACTCCTCTGTGTTTACAAAGATTTTATTTCCATTTTTCCTTTTCTCGTATTTATTCCTTTTTCTTTCCTTTCCCCTACCTTTCCTATTTTCCCTTCCCCTTTGGAACTTTTCTTCCTATTTCATATTATATATTATACATTTTGACAGTTACTTAGACTTTCAGTTTCTCATACCAGAGAAACTATTTGGTATTTACACGTATGTGTCCTATTTATTTCACTTAATACTATGGCCTTGATGTACATCCATTTAGCTGTCAATGTCTCTAGTATCACATTCTTTAGGGCTGGGTAGTATTCCATTTATTAAAAAAACCAAATTTTCTTTATCCAGTCTCCAGCTGATGGACAATGAGGCTGTTTTCAAGTTTTAGCTATTACAAACTGTGCTGCTATAAACATGGGTGCACATATATTGCTGTAGTATGATTCTTTCTTTTGGGAAGATACCCAGCGGGGGAATAGCTGGGTCAAATGGGATCTATAATCCTAGTTTTCTGAGGTATCTCCATATTGATTTCCACAGTGGTTGCACCAGTCTACACTCCCACCAACAGTGGAAAGGGGTTCCTTTTTCCCCACAACCCTACCAGCATTTGTTATTACTTGATTTCTTTATAGCAGACATTCTTTCTGGAGTGAGGTAGAATCTCAGCGGTGTTTTCATTTGTATCTCTAGAATGATCAGTGATGTTGAACATTTTTTCATGTGTTTATTTGCTATTTCTACTTCTTTGAGCAATATCTTTTCATTTTAGATGCCCATTT